ACAGGAGTTCAGCAGCCACTCCACCAGCTGAGTGACCAATCAATTCTGTGTCAGCTCCGCAGATATTTTTGGTGTTCTTGTCGATCAGTACTAGTGTGTGTGTGTGTGTGTGTGTTTGTCCGTGCCTACCCGGACAATGCTGTCTGCCTATTTCTGTCCCGCCTTGTCTCTGCATGTCTCACCTTCTTCTGCAGTATGCAGTGGAAGATGAAGATAAACATCCCCTGTAGAGAGTTGAAGATGGTGAAGAGGTACGCCATGATGACCGTGCTCTCATTGATATACATCAGCCCGAAGGCCCACGTCAGGCCCAGCAGGCACAGCAGGGCGATGGCCCCAATAACCCAGGACCTATAAACACAACATGCAGACAATGAATCATTCAAAAGAAAAGTATCGCAGGAACAAGAATCTGAAATTACTTTCTTCCTCCCAGGACCACGAGGTTATTCCTCCAAGTCTGGTGCGCATGTTGTTATGTATTTAATTCCAAGCCCTGACACTGGGGGCATAAGAACACAGAAACTGGGATGGGTTGCCTAAAAGAATTACACTTTTATGGTAGCGGCAAAAAGTAAATCGGTTTGCTAATTCAGAGACCATATCAAGAGGAGAGAGGAGGTTAAATCGAGCCAATCTCAGCCTCCAGATTCTGGAAAGTGAAGGATATTAAAGTATATCCCAGATAGAGCCAAGTTCTGTCAATCACAGCCATGGCAGAGGGTAATACATGTTTTTACAGGAAGTAGCCAGCCTTCAAGTCTTTCTGTAAATGTGATGATAACATTTTAGAGGAACTCAGTTTTATTTCCGAGGCTGCAAAAAGGAAACGAGCCATAAAGGGCAAATGTCAAACATTTGGAGACAGTCAATGCAGTTTTTCTAAGTTCTTGTCTTGGCTTGAGCGTGAACATTAAACTGGTTTAACTAGGTAGTGAGTGGACAGACATTACAGTCATTATTAATGACATTTAGGTGTAAACTGTCTGTCGAAGCCATGACGATCTCTGTTCATTTGATGTGATTCTCTCACAGGTGAGATTTGACGGCAAAGTTAAAAAAAAAAGGAAATCAAGGAAAAACTCCAGAAGAGACATGAAAGATAACAGAAAGGAAAAAAAAACCACAGAGTGAGTGGGACGGAGGTGATTGATTTGATGTTGCCCTCTGTGGCACCGTTCAGGCGAGACAGAACCTCCAATAAAGCTGGTCTGACGACCCTCTTCAATAAAGAGTATACTCATCCCTCCAGATTCCACCGCTCCATTCCAGCTCTCCCTCCAGTGCTCCCTGGAGCCAGAGTTTCTCTCTCTTAACTCCGTGTCCCCACATTTACATCTCACCATTGTGATATTTCAAAGGCACGCTGGCTGTGTTTGATGCAGAAACTAAGAAATCACACTTGAACCGGTGATCAATTTTACAAGGCAGGTTAATGGTTCATTAAGACATTAGAAAAGTGTTCTTATGGGGGTATTAGGGGGATTTAATGGCAAACAAACTAGTTAAAATATTTTTTAGAAAGAGGTGAAGAGTGAACACATGATTTTGACAGTGACAGATTTAAGATGTATTCAGTCTCTGAACCAACGTGGGCAAAAAAAAAAAAAAAAAAAGCCCAAAACAAACAAAAACCCAGAAAACCTGGTGAAATATGAAGAGATTGGTTTCTAAATGGTTCTGTTATAATATTATCTGGATTCTTGATTAGATTCCTTCTGCAACAGTGGAGCCGAGTTGGACTGCTTTTATCTGAGGGTCAGTGTCGCTCAGCACCACAGCGAACGCTTCAAACTGCTCTCATTAAAGATTAATTGGCAGAAATCTGTTGAAATGATATGGCAGATGATTAATGTCACCATTGTGAGTCAAATATTTTACATTTGGAGCCGAGCTCCAGTAAGACGTCCATCTCTCTCGGCCACGTTTGAACTTAACTACCTCTTTAGTCTCCGGCTGCACTGAAGACTGAAATGATACGTTTCTGATCAGTGTGGCTCAGAAGCCGGCTCTTTGGTTCTCTTTAAGCATGAGATTCTGTCTGTGCAATGATCTAACAGAGAGCGACACGGCCGATCCTGAGAGGAGAGTAAAAACTAAAAAGATTTCAGATCTAACAGGCTTAAAAATAAGCTCCTGGACAAAAGAAGTGACGTCGTCAGAGGACGATAACTGAAGTTAAAAATGTTAAAGTAAGAGTCAGGCTAACTGCTCACTGCTTCTTGTTGTGAATCCTACGACCGCGGCTCCAGCCACAAACTGTAATTATTCTACACACAGCGTCATCCGTCTTTCCATCTTGACAGTAAAAAGATTAAGCGTATTTGTCCAAATGTCAAATAACTCATTGAACAAAACCGACACGTGTAGCGACTATCACACCATCTCGCCGCCGTGGTTTGCTTGGAGCGCAGCAGCAGCTCACACATGCTTCTTACTTGATGTTGTCCAGACAGCCAGAGTCTGGTTTGAGGATGGCCGTATGATGGAACATCTTGTAAAGGGCGATGCCGAGGAAGATAACATTCAGCTGAAACACACAACAACAACAACAACAACAACAACACACAAACACCAGTTAATATTTAGCAGTGATGGGTCTAATTAAACTCACACTGTCGTCACCACAGTCCACTTAAACACAGTGCTTTCCATTTCAGTTTCCCATCCAGTGGTAATTGGCTGGGGGACAATTTTGAGCTCACAATCAACATCCCTATATGTGCCCCAAATACTGCAGCCTGAGCGTCGGAGAAATACAGCAGTCACTCCAGGCAGAGAGGATCATTGCCTTAATAAAAATCCAATTCTAGGTTGGCGTCTCCTGGCCCACCTTAAGCTTACATAAGGTTTAATAATAACTCATCTGGGGTGTTTTGTTGGAGGTACTGAGATATATATACGGTACTGATGGGTGTTGCATCATAACGGTGCAGTCCCACTTGCATAACTTCAACTTACAGCCCCAGTTAAGTCTGTGATAGTGTGGCTGACATTTCTAAAATGAGCACTGAACATAAATGTACATGCTGACATTCAAACTAATTGGGAACATGTTCCATTCCTTTCATTCTACCTTCCTCAAAAACCTATCCTACAGACTGTTCCGTTTCACAGGTAAATAATAAGGCTGGTTCTGGTACCGATGCCCAATTCCTTCTCTAACTTTGTTCTAGAACTTTTAACTAGCCACAATTAGTTTGTGCTCATTCTTTGACCAAGGGATGGAAAATGAGCCATTCTCCTAAACTCACTGCACACTGATACGTGTGTACTGTATAAGAGAATGTAGGTAGTATTTTAGGTCTAGACTGATGTCATGATTTGGACAGTTGTCTGATTTTAATGACTTAAACATTAAAACACGTCAGTCGGGCGTCTAGAAAGAATAGATTTTTAATTAAATTGATGATTGGTCTTAGTCGATCTTTTTACTTATATTTTTAAGCTCACAGTGATTGAAGTTTTGTTTATTTTGTTTATTCTGTGTGGAAGACTAATACCAATAAAACAATAATAATATAATTTGTCTTAGAACTTTTTGATCCTCCTCTCTATACAATTTATCACTATTAGTCTTCGCTGTATGAAGAATTCAAGTGAGAGAATTTAATGAATAACAGGGGGAACACTCTGTCCCACTGTACACGTAGTACTATGATAAATAAGTACGTATCTTACCATTATAATGAGGGTTGCAGGACCAATAAAACTCCAGATAAAATATGTATCCAGACGCAGCCAGCACCTAGAGTGTCAGAGAGAGGGAGGGAGAGAGAGAGAGCATAAATGAGCAACAGGGAGGAAGAGGGTTCCAAGCACATTGTGTTGTACAAGGAAGGCATAAGAACAGGGGAGAGGGAAGACACATGGGGATTAAAAACATGCTCCACTCCAAGGATGCTTTGAGCAAGGATTTACCTTCAAAGGACAAAGGATGCATCACGGTGTCTCTCACACAGATAGAAAGAAAAAGAAAATAAAGCTAACCGTTACATGTACATCACATGCATCAGAACAGAGGGAGGAGAAAGGGATTGGTGGTGAGAGTCAAAGAGTTAAGGAGGTGCAGAACAGCAGATGCAGGATGACGAAAATACAGCTCAACGTATCCACACCATTCCATATAGTACATCAGACACAGACAGCCACGGGGCGAGCACCTGCGATAAATAAACCCTTATTTCCCCCGGAGGACACAGATATACGACACTGTCGCATCCTGCAAAAATATGACATGACTGTGTTCGTTTTCATATTGACTTATGGATGCAGGCTCTCGTACAGGCTATTTATGGAGGCAGGGAGTGGCTGTGAAGAGGTTAAAGAAGAGGGTGTACACACACACTCACACACACACACATACCTAAACTGTAGGACACTGACAGAAAAAACAATTCCTTGACACAAGTCGACTTCCCCCGGGAAGAGTTGAAAAGTTGATTTTCTTTTTCTTCTGGGTGACAACACACTGTTTACCTCTGATTATTTTAACCAATAGTCATAATCACTTTATACAATGGGCAGTAGCTCAAGAACCCACCAAGCAGCCCATCATTGGTGACAGGCACTAGGAAGGAAAACATGAGCAAAGGATCACCGTGGAGACGGAGTCCTGGAGGATGAGTAAAGGTTGACTCAAGACGTGAACATCTCACTGGGAGTGCAGGTTTAGCATCATTAGGTCATACCATCCTGCTATATGCTAGAATATATTTCTGCCAGACATATCAATCACAGTGTGCATATGTCCCAAACTGCCCCCCCCACTGGGGTCAGACCCAGAGGGTCGCATAAAAAAAAAAAAAACGGGTCCAGAGAAAAAAGGCTGGGGTAAAACGGCCAACTGATTCATGACCAGTCGCCTCTGAATTATTAATCTTTCAATTTCCAGCACATTAGAGAGCCCTCCATTACTGGTCTTTGACTGTGTCACTGTAGTCTCCATTAGGGCCCTCTCACTAAGTCATAGCCACCTTCATTATAGGAATGTGAAAGAGACTTAGTGCCACTGGCTAATATGAGGGAACACGGGGTGCATTTGGTGTCAAGGTGACACAGAGGGGATGGCATGTGATATTTGCAGCAGTTTTGTTTCAACGTGCACTGTCAAACCTTAAAAGGAAGTTTCATTTTCAAGGCCAGGCTGATGAATGAGCCTGTTTGTGAGATTTTGTTTGACACGACACGTATTTTGCAGTGGAAACAGTCGATCGGTGTCGTTGGTCTGATTGGCTCTGACGTCACTGGTTTAAAATCTTTTACTTCTTTTTTTTTTTCCTCAAACAGCGCTATTGTCTCCACCAGGCTAATGGCAGCCTGGTTATTCATCCAGAGCATGGCGTTCAGACACTCATGTTTTAATGATCTTTCCACAATGAAATATTGATCTAAGTGCCTAAACCCTTGCCTCGTCTCCCGACCTCTCTGAGGTGATGTGTAGCTGGAGCGACGCTGCAACAGTAGCTTTTAATCTACAAAATGAGTAACGAAGAAGAGCGTAGTCGAGCCGTGAATCATTTAACACTCCTATAGTGTGCCGTCATTGCCCACATTCTATATGGAGACACTCAACGATTAATAGGGGATATTTTTTGCAACACTCCATATGTTTTCATAAAGTAACAGGACAGAGCACAGGCAGCTCAGGAACACAGGAATAGGAATGTGGCCTTTTTCATGGCTTCTCTTGAGTGTCGCAGCATGAACAGGTTGACCGGTCATGCATGTGAAACTGTTATACAGTAACGTTCACTACACTGTAATGTGGGTGGCCTGTATGTGCATAAACCTCATGTGAATAAGACGCTGGCTGGGCTCTCCTCATGTCTCAGTTGGACAAGTGGAGCATTATGAATGAGTTACCATGTGCTCTTAATGTATGTGCTCCCCCCCCCCCCCACAACCCCCCACCTGTGTTTTACTGCAGGAAAGTTAGCTTTTACACACACACACGGATGGATGTGCACAATCCGACAGATTATCCCACCACTCCAGTTTCACACATTGAATCACTTCTTCTCTGCCTCAGTCTGCTACAACAAGCAGCCCACTGGCCCCTTTTCTGCCACTTAAATCCCCCCCCCCCATATTCACACATTGTTACTGCTGCGCTCATGCAGACACGCAGTGCAACATCCTACCCTCTTTGCACCCACACTTCTCCTCAGACTCTCTCTCTTCTCTCAACAGACTCTCCAGACATGCCACAGCTTGTACCATCCTGGTGGCAGACACAACCAAATAGATAGCAGGTTCTCCCGCTCCCCCCCTCCTCCCTCCTCCCTCCCCCAGTCCCTCCCCCCTTCCCTTTTTCCTTCACGCCCCTCACTTTCCCCATCCCTGGCATCCTTACACTCGGTCAGTGCCGTAACTCCGGTAGTCCACCGCAGCGGAGACAGCCACTATGACAGCAGGTACTCCATATCCTGCCAGATAGAAGTACTTAGTCCTGGAGTGCTCACTCTCAAACACCTCCACCAGCATAATGTAGAGCTGCACCCCTTCCAGGAACATCCAAGTGAAGGCTGCCAAGAAGAAGAAATGGAGAAGGGCTGCAAAAACTGCACAGGCGATCTGTGGAGAGAAGGACAAGATGGAGAGGATTTAGAAACGCGACAATGTTACATACAATTACAGCGGGAAACGTTCATGTGGTGAACACACAGTTGATGAGGTTATGAGTCAGACATTTACATATCCACTTAGAGTTAACGAAGCTGGAATAGACAAGGGAAGGAGAAGATGAGTCAGAGCAGACAACAACGCAACTTTTCTAATGAGTTTTGGGAAAAAGTATAAAGTTGGTGATACATACGTATATATTTTAGTACCAGTGGTAAAGTGCTTCATACATAATTTTATTAGAACATATACAGTATAAATATAATTTGTTTTTTATGCACTTAAGCTGCTTCCTGTTTGGTGGCTGTTTTGAAGCCTTCTGCTGACTCATCGTTAAAACTCGGCCCATTTTTTTAAAGACACTCCGAAGAGTCATTTTTAGTTAATTTGAAGATTTAAAAAAGTGTGCCTGAGTCAACCACTGAAAAGAGAAAGAAAATGTTTGATTTTAATTTTTTTTTTCTGTTGGTGACCCCTGCTGTAGAGAAAGAAAATTTAGACAAAATGAATAAAACTGTAGTAAAAAAAGAAGAGGGAAATGTAATGTACTAATACTTTAAAATCAATACTTTTCAAAGTTTGGCAAAAGGCAGCAGAAACATTAGCTGGGGTAATTAAGGCTGGTGGTTTTTAATGCATCTGCTGGAGTGGAACTGTGTGATTTACAAAATGTATCTAATCAAAACACTGAATATTGTTTATTAAAAATATGGCTATGGTGATGGTAATTGAAGTAATCAAATTAGATTACAGCAATTTGTAGTTACCAGTGGTTTAGCAGACGCACAGGCTGTGAGGAAACGGATTTTAAAACACATGGGTGGCCAGGAAATAGGGATGGATAAAGAAAATATAGTTACGGAGGCAAATGATGCAAAAGTTTGAAAAAAATGGTGTGAGTCAAAATAACGCTTTTTGGCAGCATATAATTTAGATAAGACGTGAAGCTGCAGGAGAGAGTTTTCAAACCCAAAACTGGAGAATGAACATGTAAATATAAAAGAGAGAGAGGGAGTCCAGAGATGGAGGTGTGGGGGTGAAAAGTGATTTAGCGAGACATTTACAGCAATGTTCTAATCTAACGAGTTGCTCCTAAATTGCTGAATGGGAGTGTGAACAGACAGACTTCCGTAACGGAGGGGGGGTTCAGTGTGAGACAATTACCTAATGTCTGAAAGACAATGAGTTTAGGGGGCGAGGGAGTCACTTATTTCAATTTCTAATGATCACACAGTGTAGTTTGCACGCACACTTGTCCACACCCACTGACACACACGCACGTGCACACACACACACACAGGTAAAATAACTTACTGATTATGCAAAGTCATTTTCTTTCCCTGCTGGAATAACTGGCCTTACTGGCTGAGAGCTAAGTGGCATTGAAGATGTTAATGGAGGTCACAAATAGTCACGAGTAATTAACAGGAGGAAATCACACACCAGTGCAGCTGAATGCATTCAAACAGATCCCTCCAACACAAACACTTAAGAGACCAGGACAAATAGACAAACCTCAATGTCAATCCAACAGTTCATGTCTCTTCATTTCAGCCAAGCCTGTGTTCAAACACTAAAAACCCTGGGGTTCTTCCTGTGTAGCGTTCACACTGTAACTCTGCTCTGAACACTCTGGATGCAGTGAAAGGACAGAGATATCGAACCTTCTTCCACACAGATATGTACTTTAGATTCAACAACACTTCACATCAAGGTGACCTTGAAAATCCAAACTATAATAATATTAATATCCACGATCAGTGAAAATTCCACGTATTCTATCAAGACCACGATTGTTCATGTAGAACAATTCATCACCAGGTTTCATTACTGGGGTCACATTTACATACAATATGTTTGTCTCTGTGGATTTGTTTTGTTTTGCACATCACATCCATTGCATTTGCGCCTTATGTCTAGAAAGTCTAGAGAGATGGATGTGACACTGAAACACCAGTTCTGTATTTCTGTTCCATGTATTTGTGAAACGTGTAATTTGTATCAAATATATATATGTATAAAAGATACAATGTTTAAACACAAACTTTTTTTTCTTTGGAATTAAAGTGTATTTAAAAAAGTAGTAAACTACCTAGTACTGACCTAGTAGTACATTTGTGCTAATGACCTTTAGGGCGTGTTGTAAGTGTTAAAGAGAATAGAATATGAACATTTCATAAAATGTTTAAATACTCTACTTTCATATTATAGTGCAAACAGATGTGTTTTTTTATTATAAAAAAATCATAATCATATACTGTATATATATATATATATATTTTTATTTTATTACCTCAAGGGCAAAATAATTTTTGTCATCGTAGGCCACATGTGAGGGGTTCACAGTCCACATGTGGGACCCAGGCCAGGAGTTTAACACCACTGCTTTACATGTTTAACAATGTAAGACTTCAGCTGATGTTTATTACCTCGCAAAATGTTGTTGGCTGATTGAGTTACTGTGAAGGAGGACACAACATTTACTGCTAATTTACTGCGAGCTTTCATTAACATGTATGGAGAACACCGAGGCCTGGACTTTTACTTAGTTCTAAACCCACGTAAAAGTGAAGCGTGCCATTAACACATGGGTTGGTTTGTTTATTGCAGCAGTTGATGAGGTCTTTTCCTGTACAGCTTAAAATTTTATTGCTGTTTTTCCTCCTCTACCATCATGCGCTGTAAAAGCCAAGCATGGTTCCAGTTGAGGTAATGCATCATTGATTTTAATAGAAGGTTTCTGTTTGCCAACGTTGGAAGTTGTGTGAGGGGAAACAGTGAAAATGACCAATTAGGCAATAAATGGTAGTTTCATGTCCATTTGGAGAAGCAGCGTGCGCTAAACCTTTTCTGTCCGTTGATATTAAAGAACATCAGAGCCAATAAACCTCATGTGTGGCCTTAAGTGGTCGGAGCAAAGTGATACGTAGGTAAAAGAACGTACAGTTGACGCTGAAGAAATCCTCCGTACGCTGCGTGACAGTTTGATGCGTGTGAGGACACACAGCCGTGCACAGTGACCTAGAATAAAACCCAAGGTTGTTCTGAATGTCAAACAACATTACTTGACCTGTCAGAACCCCTGCACATGACCTTGACCTGACCTGTCAGAACCCCTGCACATGACCTGCTTGTAACCACAGTGTAAACCAGTGGGGGCCTCTAGGGGGAGCCTCGGAAAATTGGAGGGAAGGTAAGAAAAAAAAAGGACAATAAAAAAATCCAATTATCTTTTTATCTTTTTTTTTATAACCAGTTGTCCTAAACATGGAGCATGTAAACTGTCATAACCGACAAAAACCTGAACGCATTTTGTTTTTGTAGAGTTGGTGGATTTAGTCATGACTGTGCATCTTCACACAGTCTGCTAGAACATGTCAAGAGTTTCTTTTAAAACTCCGGTGGATCTTCACACAGTCTGATAGAACATCAACGTCAAGAGTTTCTTTTAAAACTCCGGTGCAGCCATTGTCTTCAACGATATTAATCAGTCTACAGACTCCTCACCATTCTATTTGACACGTCGTGTCAGTCGGCTTGTCAGACTTATTTAAAGCTTTGCACTTGGTGAGGCTGCGCTGACGTGTCTGACCAGACGTGTCTGACCAGGAGTTGAAGCCTCTGCTGGAGGAGATGGTATTTTAAGCTGCTGTAGCGCAAGCAAATAAAAATAAGTGTAATCGATTATGTATTGGAGAAATGACTGTGGAGTTATTGGCTCTATGCCCATGGTTTAAAATGCATTAGATTCATCTCAACATTAATTAACACTTACACACACACACACACACACACACACACACACGTATTACCTGCTACTCTACCTCAGACCAGACTGAACTGATCAGATGCAGAACGAACCTACCTTCAGATCTTGTTTAATTACCTTTGAATTTTTTTTTTCACAACTGTGAGTATCACCTGCTACTGTTGCCGGAGGAAGAAATAAATCACTAATTGTAGACTGTAGCAGAGCTTTGAAGCCACAATGAATTCAAATATTATGACGAAAATAAGCGTACAGTAGAGTAGGGTTAACAAAAAAAAACACCTTTTCTACAAATCCTACAAAGTATTATATAATTCATATACAGGTGGTGGGAGAGGGGAGAACGGTAGCCAAGCTATCATGTGTGATAGACGACCTGTCCCACCCCCTGCAGGATACCATCACTGAACTGGGCAGCTCCTCCAGCAGCAGACTGAAACAGACAGAATGCCTGAAGGAGCGGTGCAGAGGTGGTTTCTGCCAGCTGCTGTCAGACTGTACGCTCAGACCGTGTAACTAGCATTACCTCATGTAACAACAACAACATGTGTAATATCTCCACCTTCATGTGCAATATCGCTCAACTGCTCAATTACTTTGTTACGGTGAAAATCCTAATATGTAAAAAGTAGATTGTCATTATTCACAGTCTTTGTTTTTCTGTATTATTATTAATATTATTATTATCTGAATAATATAATTTATGTATTATCTCAACTGCAATATTTCAAAGTAACCTTCAAACTGGGCAGTATATTGTTCAGATAGGAGAAGAAATGTCAAACTGATATCTTTATTTCTATAGCACTCTGCTATATTTCACTCTTGTATTTACTCTAAGGCTGTCAACACTGTGAATATCCCAGACAAAAGACTTCTTAATCTTAATCTTAATCTTAAATCTCAACGACAGAAACGAATGATTTGGTAAATGGCATGAATATAAATTCAGGTGTTTTTATCCATGTCGCCATGATTACTGTGAGTCAGAGGTACGCAGTAAGTAGATTGTTAAAAGTATTTGTAAGTACATCACTTTGGCCCAGTCATTTGAATAGCAGCTCCCAAGCCAAAAATGTACGGACACCCCTGCTGTTAGTCGACTGACGGCAAGTTAGTAAACACCCCACACTTTGTTCTGCCAGAAATACAGTGCCTTTTATCATTGGGCAATCATGCCAGGCCTGGAGCAGCACAGTGTGAATAATGTGTCTCATTTTGAAAAGAACCCCGTGAGCGGAAAAAGTTTTCCCCTCTATTATGTCTATTTCACTCAAATTTCCTTTGCTACATGTATTTACCGGCTGGTCTGCCCGGTTGATCCCGACCAGGAAGAGCGACTCAGCGATGAAAAGGCTGATGCACAGGTTCTTGTGGATGGTGTTGCGGTCACTCTGCAGCCCACGGAAGAAGCAGAAGGTGAAGATGCAGATAAGCAAACACACCAGGGACAACAGGATGCCCACCCAGGTGATCACATCCAGGAGCAGGTCGTGCATGCTGTCTGCTTTCTGTGGGAAAACACACAAAATGGGAGAACGTGACTCAGCGGCTTCTAGAGTTGCATCATTTCCGTCGTCTGAAACAGCTGAAACTAATTGCTGTAAAGTGGTTGTACGTCGCCGAGTGTTCAGGGCCACGACTTCACGCCGGGGTGCACAGCTGTGCTGCTTCTATCCATCAGTGTCCCACGACCTGGCAGCAGAGGCATTGTTCAACATCGCCCCCTGTGATGGATCTACTGCTCAAATCCTCACACTATATTCTCCCACAGTCATCGGGCTGCTTGTGACCATGACCTCTTTAGAAGTTACACACGTCATCTGGCCCAGAGGAAGAGACTGAGCTGCATTTCATCATCCAGACGTATAAGAGTGGATGTGTGAAAAGGAACCAAGTAATGATGTAATGATAATAATAACAGTATTAATAATAACAGTAAAGTAATGATAACAAAGGCGCAGACAGAAAAAGTACTAATCTCACACGCAGTGGGACAAAAATGCTTTTTATCCACATCCCACACAGGCTTATGAAATGAAATACCTTCTACGCACCCAAAATAGACTTCATTTGTGCCAAATCAAACGTATAAATCTGTTTTTGGTATCATCTAGGTTTTAAACGTGCCTGTAATGTATGTATTTACTCATTTATCTCCTACTGTTTAATCCCTGTTATGGCTGCCAGGAGCATGAAGTTTCTCCTTGATGACATTGGACTAGAGCTGGGATTCCCAAAGTGTGGTGCGTGGCCCCCTGGGGTGAGCGAGATAAAAAAAGTGATGGCTGTTTGTGTTTTTTTTTTAATTCATATTTTTCTAAACAATAAAGACGTGTAAATAAAGATTTTCCTGAGAAGATGTCATGTTTATTCTAGGGCTGTGAAAATGAACTTTCAGTAACATCCTGATAGTTACCACCATCAGGATGCACGATAAAGAATCCACCAAATGTATGACATAAAATGTTATTCATATTTATTATTCATATTAATGAATTAATGAATCCTCAGCTACCCTGCGGTTAAGAGTTTGACAGCCATGGTGTATTATCATTCTACTTTTCTGCTGATCTGCTTTATCAGCTAGCACTTGCACAACGACGAAGACTGACGCCTTCGACATTGTTCCTCCCACAGCGACTGTCTGTGTGTCTGGCAAATCAGAAGTACTGCGTGCCTACCTTGACCTCCACATGGGCCATGAGCACCGCAAAGCTGGTGAGGTGTGTGCAGGAGCAGCTGGTGTGTGTACGATTGGTGGCCAGCAGACGACAGTCCTGTGTGGACCAGAATCCCATCATGGTGCGTTTGGAATAACTCCAGAAGGAACAGTTGGGATTGAAATTTTCTTCCGAATGCTGTGAGAGGAGAGTCGAAGAGAGAGAGAGACAGAGAGAGGGAGAGAGAGTGAAACATTGGGACAACATAGATGGAGAGTCACAGAGTAAAAACACCAAAAAAAAAAAAAAAAAAAAATGCAAGAGGAATGGGAGGAAAAGCACAGAGAACAGACACTTAGTCACGGAGAGGTAGGTGGTAGAATCATGAAACGACAAGTGTGCCAGAAAAAGTGAGAAAATGGTGTGAAGAATTGTTTGGCAAGAGGACGGAAAGGAGGAAATACAGACACAACAAGAAAACAACAAACAGAAGGGACAGAACGAGGGATCAACAAACAAACACCGAGCCACTGTCGCAGGAGGCGACGGCGTTGGGTCCGTTCTTGTCATCAGAGTTTGTGAGTGTAGGAGTTGCATGTGTTGTGTAAACTGCTGAAAGTCTGCGAGTTGTGCGTGAGAAGATATCTCTAAATGAGCAAATGCAACTGCGAGGACTTTGTTTGCAGTCAACAGGTTGGATTACTAATAAGATCAGACTGTGGCAATAAAGAAATCCAAAATAAAAGGTGCAAAGACGACCAGAGGACTTGTATTAAAAATAACTGTGCTTTTAGCTTTAATCAGTGTGTGGTGGTTTATATGGCTTTTTAGATGGAGAGAAAATCAGCCGAGTTTAGACCCCGTCACATCTTGTCAAAGAAAGTCACAGATCCTGAAAAACTTGGAAAACTTTCCCACTTTTAATGCTTAAGAGAAATGACAAGCACTTCACTGTGTTCTTTTCAAGCTGTGCTGATTGTGGTTTATTCACGTCTGGGACTAAGAAGCATGAGTCATTGTCACGGCTAACTCTACTCCTGTTTTTAAGCAAAACACGACATGAACAGTTTGCTGTCGTTCATGGCTCTGGTGATTAGATGTTATCAAGTGACGAGGCCGAGATACTGCTGCCACCAGTGAACTTACAGTATGTCCATGAATAAATCCTCGCACCAGTGAAACTGTCACTTTTGTTATTCCCTTTTTTATTGGATTACACACAGCTTTGGCCACAGTGGAACTGTTCAAAGGACCGGAGGTGAAGCTGCAGGTGGCAGAGTTAAAGCTGCAGAGATTTTTAGAGTCGATCAAAAATGAGCAGAAGAAAGGAACGACCAAGTTTACACAGTGGAGAGAGAAAGTTTGAGAAGTGAGGTAGAGATGGTTTAGACTACTGATTCTTAATCATGGGGCCGCAAACCAAACCTGAGAGTCGGCGAAAACTTTCAGTGTTTCACCTGTGGGCTGTGGGACTGCAGAGGTTATCAACTGAAGACACTCATAGGGCTAAAGTTCAATTTACACTTGGTTTCAATTTTATTTTCCTAAGCTTTTACCTTTTTTATTGATTAATGTATATATATGTATAATTTTGCTAATCTTTATTATAAGTAAAATCTCTATATCTTTTTTAATTAAAAAGCCTGTCTTGATCGTGTCTTGTGTCAGGAATCATCAGTCTGTGGTCGGTGGTTGGTTGGTGGTGCAGGTTTATAAACACATGTTTAATAAATGTCTTTGTGATGATCCCATTTTATCATGTTGTTTTATTTGACGTTTTTACTCGTCAAACCAAAGGTGCATTCCGTTTATTATTGGATACAAATCAAACTGTGAGTGAGGTCAACTAAACCTGTGCTGTACAGGGTTCATATTTAATGCCATACTTTGTACTATAACAAGAGTTACTGGAAACATGGATGTATAAAGAAGACATCAGTGAGGATTCATGAATGTGGTAAAGAGCTACATGATGACGGTGGAACAGTGACTGACGCCCCTGAAGGCAACTCAAAGACAGAGAAGATCGAGGCACTTGTTTTTTTTTATTGGCCTCAAAACAGAGAGTGTGTCTCTCACCTGCAGGTGTTTGACAGTGAAGACCACCGGCTCAGACAGGTAAACCTTGTTGCTCTCCTTGTTAATGGATGCAGTGATAACCGGTGAATTGACAATGACGGAGTAGTTGGGGTAGACCGCATCGCTGCCCAATCGAACACTTGCGTTCTCCGTGGACAAGTACAAACCCAGGTTCCTGTACAGGACAAAGGCCATCCTGATCTCACCTGCGTGAAGACACACAAGTAACAGGGACAAACACTCGGTAACCTGAGCCGCCATGACGGATGATACTGAGCAGCAGCGGATGTGAGCGTGGTGGAGGAAGACAATGTCACATCTCACTCCTACCATTTCTGCCGTGTTGTTTGAGAGTGCTGGCTGACAGCTGGATGGAGTTTCCATGTAGTTCTGACTGAGGGAATGTCAAGTCTGCCAGGTTTCCATCTGTGCTCAGCCTGGCCACTTCCAATTCTGAAACACAAACACACACACACACACGCCAGACACCCACTCCTGAGCATAGCAGAGATTTTTACAGCCAGACACTTATACTCCTGAGCATAGCAGAGATTTTTACATTATACTCCTGACAATAGCAGAGATTTTTACATTGATATTTGTTTTGTAGCCACCGTTTTGTAACAACACTGGCATAAAATCCCGACGGATGATGAACAAGAACAAAGACGTGGCTAAAAACTGACACACGTCAGAGTAAAATGATTTGGATTTTCAGGTCTCCATCCAACGACCCTTCAGTCAATCGCTCCGACTCATCGATGTATATAATCCTGTACATCTCTGGTATTTTTGGAGTCTAATTTCACCAGTCTGGATCGTTTGTGATTGCAGCTGTATAATGTATGAGAGACATTTTCTAATTAAAGACTAATTATACCTTTTGTGCATTGCTATTCTGCCGCTTCCGAGTGATTTGGTGATTATGACAGTGCTTGTTGTGGAAACAGCTTGCGGTTAAAATACAAAATGACAAAAAAAACAAAAAACAAACCAAGGACACGATTCTTTGGAATTTGAAAGGGAATACAGTTGGGCTGAAGAGGAGGTCGATGAAAGAATACGGAGGTAAGGAGGTCAGGGAGGAATGCAGAGAAGAGGAGGGGAAGGAAAGGATGTGAAACAAGGAGAGGAAGAGAGTGATGAAGAGTTCATGGACCGACAGAGGAAGGGGAGGAATTCAGAGTAATGATGAATAAAACTGAGTTAAGACCACTAATCTGAACCCAAACCACAGACCAAACGGCAGTACTGTAGTACATGTACTGCAGTACTGTAGTACATGTACTGTAACACATCCATACTATATTCAACCAGGGTTAGTTTAGGACATGAAAACTGAAACCAATGCCAGAGATGATTCTCGATGATAATGAATACAATTACAGACATACACACGATTATATATTAGTACAAACACACACACACACACGCGCAGTGGCAGGGAATCAAAACACACTGAGTCTAAATTAATTAAAGAATCCTTGTCATGACAATTCTCATCCAAAGAAACACTGTTGTTCATTATCGTTATCACACACTCACGCTGCTACCGCTGTTATCGTGGAATCACTGATTTGGCTCTAATAATAACACTAATAATTCATCCCGCTGTTGCTGCACCACAAAGCCAGATGTTCAATCAAACACAAATCACCTGCTGTCTTTTATGGTATTGTTAAAAATGCTGTCGTCCTGTCGCCCTCCCAGGAACTTTAAAAAGAAAACGGCTCCTAGTGTACGTGCAGTGAGAGAGTGGAGCGATGAAATGGAGCAAAGGAACCAGAGAAAGATGAGAGGCGGCGTTGGACAAGTTATGAATAAAAAGGGAAAGATAATCACACTGGATCTGCCCACTGGATTAGCTGCAAGGGAAGATTAACGGCAAGAAAGGAGGCAGGCAGAGACAACATTTTCCACTTTTAGATGATTTCTAGTTTTTAAGTCCTTCAGAGATGCAGTCGCCTACATCTCGGTGATTGTTTATGTAACTATTTTTTTTTTGTGGCGCATTTAGAGGAGGGAGAGGAGAAACACTTGTCCGAAATTAGGTGAGGTAAAAAAGAGGACTTTGATAAGACTGTTCTCATAGTTGTTTTTCAGCGGTTTGAAACTAAAAAAGAATGATAGGAAGTGAAAAAAACAACTCAAAAAACAAAACACTCAGAGAATCCTTGTGACATCTCTCCATCGTGCAGTCTCATTTTCTCCTAATCAGCTTCAGTTTCTCCTCCTCATTTGTGACGGTTACCCAGTAACAGTCATGGCTGAATTAAAAAAATGTTTTTGTTTTAAACCTTAATGCAATTAAAGCAGGGAAGAAATCATGTGAGCCTCCTGCTGGGCTGGGCGTGAATAACACAGCCATCATTATCATTACACGAGTGAGCTATATAGGAATAAGAAGCAAAAAGAGGATTTATTTTTTTCTCTCCGCAGTTTCTACCTAAGTCAGAGGCTCAATAATGAGAGGATCAGTCAGAAGATGTGAGAAGATGATGGAAGGCAGAGAAACGGAGGCATGAGGGAGTGTGCATCTTTGTTTGGCTTAATTCCTCCTACAAGTGGAGGAAGGAAAAAAAGAAAGCAAAAATAAATAAAATATACTGTCTTAGAAGATGATACATGTGTGCGCTGGAGCCTCAAGGCCAGGCTCTTCCTGCATAATGTTAAATTAGGATTGGTCTCTGTGGATGTTATTCTTCAAACCCTCTCAGTATTTCACCATCATGATCTTTCCTTCACAGAAGGAATCATGCGTCGGCATCACGCAGCGAAGAACCGTGTACAAAGTACAGATAATGTTTGTGATTTCATTCTTTAAAAATGAGCAAATCTGAGAAAATATACCTTGAAGCATTTTTTACTTTCTTCGCCCCCACCACCAGATTTTGGTATTTTTTTTAATATATGTGATACAAATATATAATACACTTGATATGACATATATATGTGTCTAATCGTCCGTCTGTTTCTCCCTCTGCCCAGTGATGTTATTATGTGTGTTTTTTTTTGTTTTATAATACACTTGATATGACATATATATGTGTCTAATGTGTCGTCTGTTTCTCCCTCTGCCCCGTGATGTTATTATGTGTGTTTTTTTTTGTTTTTTTTTTTGCAGTTCATAAAGTAACTGCTACATTTATCGTGCGCCTCCTGACCACGTTGTTCTTTAGACTTCTTCTACTCCTTAGGTACTTTACAGTAAATTGGAATCCATTAATCTGTCTTTACAGTAAATTGGAATCCATTAATCCGAGGCCAAATATTGAAAATGTTGACCTTAATGTTCCACCACTCTAAATAATTTCAGGAGAAATACTGCAAATGTGAAAGGGTTTAGATTTTAATTCCCCAATTCAACACTGTATCCCTGCAACCATGTTTAAACCGACCTTGGCTCATTTATTAATATTCTTAAAAATGTATATTTGAATGATGAGATCAATAGAGAGCCATTCACAACTCCGATACCAGGGACATGCAACACATGATTTTCTTTTCAATAAACCGTGACAGCCTCTACCGTTTTACACTTGTTTATGACCTGTATTTATTTCTGATGAAACACTGACGGGGTCATGGCAATACCCTGTCGTTTCCGCTGTATGCTAACGGCCATTCACTCCAAATTTATCTCCATGACCCACTATTATGTGTGTGAGCTCATTTCCACCGTTGAGTGTGTGTTACTTTAATAAATCATCTTAAATCGCTCTGTGACTCTTCGTCAACATCTCTACTTTTCCTACTTAACGTCTCATCCCTGTTTCACGCACATGAACTGTTACAACATGTTACGACAGCGTTTTTACCCCTCAAGTGTGCGCTCTGTTTTAGTGCAGTGGCACGTGGAGGATAAAGTTATATTCTATGTTGCCAGAAAAGCAGATTACACACTTTGTCACTCGTTTGTAGAATGAAACATAGCTCTGAAGTGCTGTCTTCCTGCTGTCAACGCTGCCTCTTACTATGATATTACATCATGGTCTCAGATCTTTTGCAGTCTGCACCGATCGTACAAATATATATACTGTCGGTCGATAGAAATGTTCACTCCACTCCCAAAATGAAACATTTGAGCCAGCCATAACTTTTTGGTTCTGGTCTCCTGTAACAAATAGTTAAATGCCTTGCTCAAGGGGATCTCAACAGGCGTCTTGGCAGTTATAACATCCAGCAGTGCTTGAGAGTATAAAAACCAACCGAAAGTCATACTCACGGATATTGTCAGTGGTCTCCTGCACGGTGTCCGTTTTGAGGAGGTTGTCAGCTAACATAAAAGCTCCCGTCTCCACGGTGTCGAGCAGCAGCGTGGCTGAGTGCAGCTGCTCGCTGGTGGGCAGCTCTCTCCATGCAGCCTGGGCTCGTGGCTGGAGCAGATTATTCACCGTCTCCACCATCGCCTGTGGCAGCAGTACAAACACCAGGTCACATGAAAGAAGCTAATTCTAACCCTTAAATGGCTTTGATGATATTATTAAACACGATGCACACAGTGGAGGGAACCATGTTACTACAACGTGAACAAGTGTGGGCAGCAGTCCATGAGATGCAGCTGTAACACAGCGATGACTTTCAATTATATTTTTTTTTGATTCATCACCACAGACGACAAAAAAAAAAAAAAAAGAGATGCAAAGGCGGCCGTTTCCATGCAAAAGTAACAGGATTGAAGCGGCTGTTTCCATGCAAAAGTAACAGGATTGAAACCGAGATAGGAAAAAAAATTAATAACATGTTGGTGTGAAAGACATAAATCACAGATGGACCACGAACATGAAGCTAAATTAGCTGGCTGACTGTGATCTCCATGGCCATAAGTCTGCAAACCTGATGGAGTTACGTTTTTTTTTTTTTTTTTGTTAAAGTCTTATCTGTAAGTAGGAAAACTTGTGCTTCGGGTGTAGAGAGAAATTAGAGTTTTATCTGATACTGTCTGCTGGGTTATATCAGGCCTGCGGTTTTTAATCCAAAAATATTACCAAACTAAAAAAGAGAGGAGCTGGATCACATAGATGAAATGTTCTTTGTTAAACAATTCATATTTTGTCTCACATTCCTTTGTGCCTTTGAGAATTCACCTTCTTACTTTCAGACTGGCTACACACACACACACACTCACACACACACGTGTGGAAACCCTGAGAGAGATAAAGAAACAGAGAGAAAAGAAAGCCAGTTGATGTATGAGGAACAAGTGAAGAGAAGGAGAGCGATAAAGCAGTCCACAGAGTCCGAGGTGACAAGTGTCCACCGGGAACAAAAGGAGCGAAAAAGGAATGCACGTGCTATCATGTGCACACATCTAATGCTCGCCGTCTGACTGCCTATTTTCTGCCCAAGTGCACAATCGTCTTTAACATAGTTTATGCTTTCTGGCCTTGTTTACACTGAGTGGGGTCATTTTCTCATCAAAACTAGTGAAGAAGAAGAAGAAGAAGAAAAAAAAAAGATTGTTCCACGTGGACTGGATTTTCTCTACGGTCCGCTGAGAATTGTTCTAAAAAGGCAGGGAATTTAGAAGAGGAAAAAAGCCAAGCATGGCACTTTGTGCTGTGCTTATGCTCCAGGACAGAAATAAAAATAGAGTGACCAACATTTGGAACACCTCTGCATCTTTCAGGATCCCCCCGTCCATAGGTTTAATAACAAACGCTGCAGCTAATGTGTGCATAAGAACAGTGGGGCTCCTCTGTGTATCCACGTAGCAGCATGATGGACAACAGTGAGTGGACGCGGAGGGAGGGAAGCTGCCCGCCACAGCACTGTTACCACGGTGAGCGGGGACAATGAGGCAATCATTTCAACAGTTCTGAGCTGCAGGACAGAAATAAGACTAGATTTTAGCGTCAGAATTTTATCACCTGCCAGTCAAAGCAAGAAGTAGCAGCATTTACAGGTAAGTGAGCTGCAGTTCCCGGAGAAAATAATGATTCTTCAACGTGCTCCTTGCGTTGTCACATTTTCATCATTCATGAGATGAAGCTCAGAGACACGGCTTCTTATTTTTTCAGCTCATACCACAGGGGAGCTGCACCTATAGATTCAAATCATTTAGAGTTATTTTATAAGAAAGGAACCGTCGCCGGTGGTATCAAGCGGTCGTTTCACCAGGCGACTCAAAAATGTGTTAACCTGCAATTACCTTATAGACAAAGCAAAAATCTAAACTGAATGTTGAAGCAGCAGGAGAATTTTCCCCTGGCTTCCAGAGGACAAAAATACAGGAATAACAACACAGGCAAAACCTACTGGATTGGTTTCACTTGGAAAATAATAACGGTAATACCGTAGGAGAGTCAAAGACAAAGACTGACGGATAATATATGTGACCTGATTGGAAGCAGGGACGAGGGGAATTACAAGGGCAGAGAGGAAAAGGCTGGGAAATCTGTTTATCGGCATTTGCACGTGAACCGTTCGACCTCCCAGTCAATGTCACTCCGTCAGAGTGGCAGGGGGGGGGGGACAGCCACTGAAAGGGGAGGGTTGTGTTTGTTTGTGTGCGCAGCGGGGGTAGGGGGAGAGAGAGAGAGAGAGAGAGAGGGCGTCCCACAATGTGAACGACTGTTTGCACAAATCAGCAGCACGTTGTTCTCTAGACTGTGAATTATTCCTACCTGTTTGTTTTGGAGATGTCAAATCCAAATAGTGGCTACAGTATATCACACACGTAAAACGAGGGCTCAGTCAACAAGCTAATGTGATAATATTACGTCCTCTCTTAGCGCTAGCAGTTAATTAGCTGGAATGCATATCGAACGGGCTGCACGTAAACACAAAACTAATGAATCCATTGCTTCAGCAAACAACCATAACAAGCGCCGTACACACACACACACACACACACACTGTTTTTCTGTTTGTCACTTTGTAAACAGCAATAATCAAAAAGTAAAACAAAGACGGTGATGGAACGTTCTTCAGTTGTAGTTCGTGGTCCACCAAAGGAGCTTGATGGACGCACAAAGTCTGGCCTCAGGGCCAACTGTGTCACTTGAAGATTATTAAATCTAAGATTTCTATTAAACATCTATGTATCAAACCAGGTAAATCATGGAATATTGCTGCTGATTATGGAAAAAGTCCAAGAAGAATATTTCTCGATCATGCACATTTTTCTCTAATTTCATTATCCCACGGCCGACCTCGGTGAAGTATAGCCATATTAATACTGAGGGCTGGAGCATCACCCTCTGCATAGCAAAAATATTTTCACAGCAGGTGATATTATGAACCCAACATATCTTCAGACCTTCTTGTCAAGTTCCCTGGGTCTTGATATATTTTAAGAGCACATGAGAAAGTCCATAAAAGCCCAGCTCTGACCCCAGACACAGTGAGGAGCCGCGGAGTGGATGGGAACACGGACGCTCCCACAGTGTGTGTTTATCTGCATGAAGTAAATGTGGTGTGTGAGGGGCTGGGGGAGCAGAGCGCCGCATCATTCTGCTCCACTTGCTGTACAGTAGTATTCCAGTAGGAGAGAAGAGAGCACTGTGTAGGCTCAGCAGAACTGACAGCAGTGGCACTGTTTCCCTGGTACCGATGCTGCCTCTCCCTAACGCTCAGAGGTCGATGATCTGGTTTTTTGTCCTCCTTAATCACCGGTCATTTAATTTAATTCTTTTTATATTAAAGTGACATCTCTAGAACTCAGATAGGAGTCATTTTTTTAATCAGTTCCAAGAAACTCCACATCAAAAAGTCGGAGATGGGACATGAGTAAACGTGGGCGTGAACGTGGGTGTGCCTGCAAACTCCGGTGCACGTGGCGGCCTTTCCATCTGCACACACGTGAGGACTGCAGGGCTCAAGTTCCAGCAGTTTTTTAAGGTGCTTTCAATGAGCGAACGGAATCTGCAGGAACAGATAAGAACGCGTGCTCGGAGTGTGTGTGTCTCCTTATTAAAAACACACACACACAACATTAAATGGGGCAGAAGTGAAATGCTTAGAAGCGCTGGGGTGATCCAGCGTAAACAGCAGCAGAAAGACAGACTGGAGACGGGGCCGCTGCTCTACTACACCCAGCAGCACCGGGGAGGACTCGTACGAGCACATGTGCAAGAACGTAGTACGTGAGGAGTCATGCACCGAGGAATACACCTAAAATGACAGCGTTGGGATGTTATGAGTATGGAAGTGGGTCACAATACAAAGAAAGATTTTTGTTTTGCTTTAATACCCGGCGCTCTACCAACAAATGCTTGTTCTGAACAGACGGATCTGTCTGTAATTGGAGTTTTACTTTCCTGACATGATGAGTTTGTTCATTTACAGCATCTCAGGCTCTGACCTCACATCTAGAAATAAAGGGCAAATTAAACATTATCGTTGGCCGCCAATGCATTTCCCACTGCCCTCCCTCCTGCTGGTTTTTCTTCTTCTTCTCTTACATTCCTTCGAGGTTCCTGTGACTCATGCCTTTCTTTGTTTAAGTTCCGCCAGCCCCCGTGCCTTTCTCAGTTTCCCAGAAATCTACCTCTCTTATCAATCCACCCTACAGCATCAAAGCTGCTCCACACCACCAACTTCATCATGAATAAATTGCCAATTTAGAATACATGAAACGAGTCCCCGGTTCCCCAAACGGAGTGAGAGAGGAGGAGAGACGAGCTGGGAGGAGGAGAGGAAAAAAAAAGACAGACAGAGAGAGAGAGAGAGAGAGAGAGAAATTCAATTATTTTTGTCTCTATTAAGAGCCCAAACCTCCTGCCCACTCTCCTCACTTGGCAATTAGTGGTGTAGATAATTAACGAGGAGAGGGCAGCGCCACACCACATCTCTAATCAGGCACATTCTATCTGGCAGAGAATGGGACTGTTGGTATCATTTTGTTCCACATTACTAAGGCTAATTATTTAATCGATCACTCGCAGCCCCCTGCAGTACCCAAGGTGTGTGGTGCCACATCGGGATTCTAACCTGTAACTACTCTTCTGCAAACAACCACTTCCTGCAAACCAGCAGGACACACCGGACGGACGTGGCTGCTCTGAGGTGACAACATCAGATCACACCCCCCCGAGTGTGTTAGCACGTTAGGCTGCGTGTGGTCCGGATGTTCTGTGATGTCACATTGCTGACTCTTGCTGATGTTAAGACTTTGCAGGGAGAGCGAGAAGAAAAAGCCTGCATCAGGAGAAAAACAGCCAGCCCATGTCCACTGTGTATGAGTGTGTATGTGCGCAGTGTGTGTGTGCGTTGGGGGCGGGGCCTTCAGAGGGAGGAAATAAAACAGACTCTGTTTCCACACACTGGGTACAGAACATGACTGCAGCAGATTAGATGCTGCGATGATTTGAATCTTCTTCTTTCATCATGAAACACATGTTAAGTCTCAATGGTCACAACATTAATAAAAAAATACTTAAAAGAATGTAATTATAAAATTATAATATTTGATTTTGGCATAATTAACCCTGTGGTTTTCAGGTTAAAGAAAAATGTCCTTTTGTTTTTACTTACAGTGTTTTCAAGTCCAGCCTGAAGCTCATATACTGTAGCATAGCGCACCATGCTAGCGCGGCAGTTTCGACTACAAGGTCACCTCATGGCTTTAAGGTCACGCACATCAGCAGCATTTTTTCACCTTTGCCCTTTACGCTGAATTTTCCGACATCATCAACAACTCTCTGTGACACGCCGTTTAAAATGTTCGGTTGAAGAATTTCAATTCACGGACACCTCTCTCACCTCGCGTCCTCCTGTGATCCACACCTTCTGTATCATTTAATTCCTAATAAAAAAAGTTCAAGATATTCACTAGTGTATAGGTTATAGATTTTTTGGGCACTTTTGATGAAGTGTATTCCACAATGTCTGTAAATAGGACTTCTAAGTAATGTAAGATTGATGAAAATGAAACTTCAGCCACAACAAAAAGCAAATCCATCACTGCCTTCTCCCTCAAATAAAGGACAGAAAAACATTCAATACGCAGTCATTTGGTTTCAGATGTGATAAATTACAATTTGGAGAACACAACTGAAAAGTACTGTCTTGGGTTGTTATTGGTATGGATTGTCAGTAACCATTGATCTTGAATGCAAGAAATAAAAAAAAAACAAACCAATGCCAACAAAGCCTTTAAGGAGACAAAAGCTGAATGATCTCAATTGTCAGATGGTGTCGGTGGAAGCAGCCATCGTTACAGTCCACCAGATCACAGTCGTGGTGGAAGATGTCAGCCTCCTTAAAGGTTTGTAAAAATAATAACACAACGACTGTTTGCAACATAAAAAAAAAAAGATAAATCTTGATGCAACCAGCGAGCACACGTACACAAAAGGCTTCATGCGAAAGAAAAGGAGTAAAAAAAAAAAACCACATCTGAACACTGCGAGGAAATGTAATCTCTGAAAACAGGAAGTGGAAATACCTGTGTGAAAAACCTGCAGGACCTTTCTCTCTTCTGAAGCTGCAAATTCAAACAGTGGAGTAGTTAGCAGTGTAACACCTCTCAATCAAAGCCACACATCCACTGTACACCGAGGAGCACGGCGCCCTCACACCTCCCTCATTAGTACTGCACACGGAACCGCCTGGCAGACTGAAACGCGTTTCTTCAGAGCCCGTCCCACTTTTTTTTACTCATGAAATTCTCTCATGTCTTCTTTCAGCTCATCACTTTGTTTTTTTTCTTCACTACTACAATAAGTAGAGCTGTCAAAATGAAGCGGTTATTAATTAATTTGTTAACATTTATTTGTTAATTTGTTGTCTCACTTGAGGTAAGACGTGCAGTAAACATTGATATAATTCATAATGATTCACTCATCACTGCTCTGATACACTGTTGATACACACGGTGTTATTTATACACACTACAGGAGAATACCATACCATGCTAACGCCCAGTGTGTCAACTTCTGGATCAGACCAAAGTTTTTGTCTCACTTGAGAAAGTTGATTTCTCTAATCAATGAATCACAATAAATTACGATCGTGATTAATTGCGACTAATCCACAGCCATCCAGCGTTTAATCAGATTGAAAAATAATTAAATCGATTGACAGCCCTACTTTAAAGTCAACTGATCTCATCCTGCGGTGTGAGGGTTATCGATGATTACACGTGTAATTTTTGATTAAATATTACCGTAACAAGCAAACGTTTCCCTTAATTGGTTCGTAATCGATGCAGTAATAATTAGTAATGAGTTTATTGGATTTAAAATCAACCTTGACCAGGTGATTGATCAGCAGCAAAATACAGTAAATGAATTGATTCAGATGACTCGTGCTTCAGTCTGCATTCACGTCAGACGTGTGATTAAATGACTAACAGATGCAAAGAGTGGAGGTGTTTCAGAGGTGGCACCAGCTGTCAGTCTGGCTGCTAAACTCTTGACTTGGTTGTTGACCTGAGCAGACGATCAGGAAACAGTCCACCATCCAGCCAGCGTTTCCCTCCGACTGAATCATTTTCATTTAATGCTCAAATGAACAAATTGCTGGATTAAATTTTACTCTTGTCTAAAACACATCTTTTGCATAGTTGGCATCAGTTTCTCATTTGTGTAACGGCGAAGTAAGCACTTGAGCAAGCTCGTCGACAGCATCTACAATGCTGTGAAGTGAAGTTCATTAAACAATGAACCATGATGTAAAATGTGTCCGAGTCCTGTTTTCATCAAGTGTGGCGTGTTTTAATGAGGAAAACTCCCAGGCAGGAGAAAGTTTTATCCAATTTTAGTCCTGATCTGAAAAGAGTCGTGAAACGCTGGGGAAGGCTGAGAGCAGCTATCTATCACCCATTACGTGCAGCAAAACGTGTTACACCGACCCTCGCAGGGAGATTAAAGTATTGTCTAAAAGCAGCAAGTTTTCATCTGTAAATTGACAGAATGATGTATATTTCTTAATTAAACTCAGTGTGCAGAAACCTCCTCACCCACGAACGCTGAGCACGAGACCAAAAAAGAACGTTCCACTCCAATCTCCCTGTCTCCTCTCTTTCTCTCTGACTCCATTACTCTCTCTATCTCTTACAGTTATTAATACTTCAGTCCTACTCCGTGACTCACTACGTAATAGCCTCACAGCGTAAATGCTTTTTGAGACAGTACCTTGGTGAGGCTCCGAGCGGCACTGTCCTTGCCCCCGGGGGTGAGGTTCCTGAGCTGGACGTCCAGCAGTTCAACCAGCTGGGCCATGGCCCGCACCGTGGATGGCACGTCGCCAGGACGCAGGAGGCCTTTGGTCTGCTCAGCCAGCTCCCGGGCTACAATGGCCGCCGTCTCACCTGAGCGGAGCTGTGAGCCAAACGGGGCGAGGGGGGAGAGGAGAGGAGGGGGCAAGATAAAGAGCGAAAGAGAGAGACAGAGAGGGAGATTTAGACAGAGATGTCGGATGAGGTAATAAAGGAAGGAAAAAATTAGGGCATGAAGAAAAAGTTACATCAAGCGGGTACATGTGGAGAGAAGGACGACAGGGGGGAGAATTGAAAAGATGTTTGATTTGGGTGAACGGAAGGGAAGGACAGGGAGGACAGAGAGACAGATTAGGTTAGAGAGGGAGAGGACAGATGGGCAGTGAGACAGACATGGCAGTTAGGTGTTGAGGAGTAGAGGTGAGGACGTAAGGAACGCACAACAGATGGGCAGCTTAAAGGGGAAGATAGATTTAGAACTCCTGACTTAGCAGATCTGCAGATTCTTATTTAACTATTTCACCGAGGTGATTTAGTTTTATTTACGGGAAACGCTCTCAACCGGATTGGTTCACGATTTTTCAGAAATGTACAGATAATGCTGAAGCAGTACAAAGTCAAAAAGTTCTAAGAGAGATGTTATCATTTCGAAAAGGCCGTCAGATTTTTATCACTGAGACACTTTCAGACTCGTATCTGCGGCAGCTTTGACGGGTTTTATCACCACATCTTTGTCATGTGTTGAGCTCTGTTGAAATGATTAAACCAGGCATTTCACAATTTGAAAAATAAACAGTTATGAAATCAAAGCAAATATTGAATGGAAGCAAGTTGTGATAATTGGAGGACTAACAACAGGTTTCTATTGGTGTGATCTGATTTTTTTTTATCAAAAACAAAATTTGAAAAAAACTCAATTTCAGTCCTTATACGAGACAAAAAAGGCAAGTTTTGACCTGGTGCAGAAGAATGAAAATGTTTGGACTTAAAGGGATATAATGATATGCAGAGGTAGAAGTGTTTGGACTTGAAGGGATATAATGATATGCAGAGGAATATTCTAGTTATATGAACAAAGAAATGTTGTTTTAACAAATTAAACATATATAAAAACAATGTAGAGAAATGTCAGATCCTGAACAGGAAATAAAAATTAACAGATGATAATTCAAATGTGGGGTTTGATCTTTGGAATTCTTTGGTAGTGTGCAGGAATACCATAGAAACATGAATAAATGGGACTTTTTTTTTGTTTTTGCAAGTGATTTAAATGTTTTCGTCAGAGACAAAGAGACCCAGTAGGTGGCAGTAATGCAACTTTAAGGACACTAACCCCAGACAACAATTGTATGGATGGTTTGGGTTTATCCAAAGAAGTCAGTCCATCAGATGTGTGACATAAATACCTGAATATTTTCTCTACAACTGCTTGTGTTTCACACCTGTTTTTAATTTGTGAAATCATAATGATGGAATTATTAATGTGTAAAAACGTCAAGAAAATTATGAAGAGGTGCAACTTAACGTTTTGATTTAGTTATTACTGTGCATCTTCACGTTGGTAAACATGCATGACACATTTTAATCAGATTAATCGTTAACATTTCATCAACTTGAATCACAGCCCTTGTATTAATATATATTTCCCATTTCACCTTCACACTACGGCTCAGTGTGAGCCAAGCCTCCAACCCTCACCCAGACTTACTTTCTGCATGATGTGGTTGACCCAGGGGGAGGTGCAGTTGCTGAGATCAGGGCCCTGGCGGTCCCAGTAACCCAGACGGGCCATGCACATATAAGTAGCCACACCTGCAACACCAACAAATGAAACTGGTGAGATTCACACAGTACACAGTATAAAACTCAGTGTCAGATCTTCTCCGCTGTCGCATTTGCACCATTTCACTTGGGATTGTAGGATTTTTCTTCTTAATGTTTGTTGGACTCGTTTCATTTCTTTAAATAAATTATTTTCATTTTATGATAACTGTTTGAATATTCATTTACTTTGCACAGCCGATTCAGTTAAATCTTTTCAATTCAATGTGTGAATAAAAAGATGGTTAATCCTTTTTGACAGGCTTTTTACATAAAAAAAAGCTTCAGGTTCATATATTATATTTTACCAATAGAAACATATTTTAAAGGCTACAGGGCTGTCAAATATTTAAAAAGTGAGAATCATTAAGTTTTTCAATTGTTTTTTCACATTTTTTGTACAATATTGCCTTTATTAAAAAACGATGTAGACTTTTAAAGTAAATATGCACAATGTAAGAAACATGATGGAACCCGCGCTGCCTGTGGGCCATATTGTATTGTGACTAATACGACTGTGCTACAGTATGCTAATGTGGAATAATTTTGTGCCAGTATGTTGAGGCCTCTATCGTTCAAAGAAGGAGCCAACGTGAACACAACGCCATGTTTCTTGGCTGTGACAACAAGAAAAGGCAAAAAGAAAAGATTCCATGTCTGAATGATGAGAACAGCATCAAATGCTACTTTCGTAGCCATCAAATGGGGAAACAGATATGATGCATGATGGGATACTTTGGGATAGCTTTAACAGTGCTTTAACTGGTTCGTAGCATTAAAGTATTTAATACAGACCTGCGTTTAGTCAGATCAGACCTTGCAAAGAAATAGCAGTAAAAATGTACAATGTTTCCATGCAAACCAACCATCTATCTGTCTGGTGTCCTTACCCAGTGTCCCTACAGGACAAGGCTGCTTTGCCGTCTGGCCTTGTTGTGTTCGGGGCCACGATATGTCAGCTGTCAGCTTTGGACTACAGAAATCTTGTGGAGCCAGCGCAGGAGGCTGCGGAGCTGCTGGAGGCACCTGCACAGGCGGAGTACGGCCGGCTTTCTGGTTAGTGTCAGGAATCTGATTGGTGTCAGGGTCTGAGCCGCCGATCGGAACCAAGATGGGCTGACGAATTGTTGTCGTCGTCCTGTACCGCTGGCCGGGCGAGGTGGTGAGGAGAGGCCTCGGGGTTGTAAAGTAGGGGGGAGCGCGAGTGGTCGTGGTACGGCTGGTGGATGACGAGGAGGACCCTCCACCACCGATTGGGAATCCCCCTCCCCCTCCACGATTCGGAGGCACCATGGGAGGCGGGCGATAGTCTAGAAAAAGAGAAAAGAAAACGAGCAGGGTTTAAAGTCAAGACAACACCTGGATTTTAAACTAAGACCTGAAATAAACTGTAGACTTTTACGGCTCCCAGAGTGACTTGCGTGTAGACGTTTTTATGAGCTCTGGATGCCAAAATAAGTTTTTCTGTCATTGCCGAAGAAGGTAGAATAGCGGAATTAGAAGAATTCAACGGGGGCAGTAAAACACATGAGTAGAATGAGCGGACAAACAGACGGAGAAAGTTATGACAACATTGGTTTTTCAGAACTTGGAAAAACCTCAGATGTTAGCGCCTATCTTCAAATTCTAATCTCTCAAATTTACGACATGTTCTAAAAAATTCAGTGAATACCAGCTGGAAAGATAATGGAAAAAACAGCAGAGCAGGTCAATACCCGGCCGGTAAATTCCCGTGAAACAAATCTTTTCTGTCCTGCCAGCGCTGGTGAAGTCACCAGTCTGTGCAGCAGGGCTGGTCCACAGCAGTGGATATTTATGCCCACCCTGGCAGACTGAAACATTTTCAGTGTCATGCATGATTCAGGGAACGGTGACAACAGAAGATGCAAAGAGGCCACTTTAATGGCCCACTTTTATTGTCAATATTTTATTGTGAAAGGAGCTCAGTGTTTCACACAAGATGGAAATAAAGAAGGAGTGGATGAAGTGATGAAAGAGTAATGAACGCAGCATATGATAGTGAAGAGTTAATGTCCTCTTCTTACTGTACCGTCTCTTCCCATCGGCCAAGCACTCACTGTTTTTATGCACGTGTGCTGCCGATCGATGAGCGAGCAGAGTTAGTGGTGCCAGATATTTACACTTATGCACCAGGATATTTTTCAACTGAATGACTTTGTTTGTTAAAAACCATTTAACGGTGGTTTTCATGCGCCGGAGTAACAGGAAACACATTTACAATATTTTTCAGAATTATTTGTCTGGATAAAATAGTCTAAGGAAGTGCATATTCTAGTCCATCTAAATACGTCCTTTAGGGGTCACTGTTTTCACCCCTGATCTTTATGACCACTTTTATAATTTTGGGTGCGGGCCCTTTAGAAGGCAGGGCCTTACTGTGGGGACAGAGGAGGGGTGCATTGCCAGTTGAATAGTCTTTTTTTTATATTTAGCCATAATTTCTAAATATATTTACTTTTCCATGAGCATGACAATTCTTAGGAGTATCAGTGACCCAACGCAGCACACAGGGGAGTAAGATCAGGAGCAAGGAGTTTATTTACCAGTTCAAGTTAAAGACCTTCCACTTACAGAGAGGGGACAGGAAATACTGGAACACAGACAAGGATGAATAATCGTAGCATGACCACAGAAAACCACTGAACAATGAGTGAGTGAGGGAGAGAGGCATATATGCTCAGGGGTGCCAGGTGACACGAGTGAGACTGATGACCAAAACACAGGTGAGTGTGATCACACTGATTACCCCGGCAGACAGAGGTGGAAGAGAAGGAAGACAGAAGGACCCGACAATCAGTCTTTTAAATTCAGTTCTGTGGAGTTGGGAAGCAACAGCTGTGAATATGTCGACGTGGTGATTGGTTGGGATGGAATGAACAACAACCTTATATACAAAAAAAGTTCTGGAACCACTGCCCTGATACAGTGCTGTTAAATAGTACACTGGGTGGTACTCATGATACACAGGACCATTGGAGCATGGAGTGTAAAAAAAAAAAAATCGTGATGTGCATGACAGTTCTTTTGCTAAAAGCATTCCCTAAATGATTTCTAGTTTTTTTTTTTGAAGGTCATTCTATAAACCTCACCTGTTGGGATTCCTGGATAATGAAGTTGTTCAAGTTGAATGTTTTTGAGTGGAGTCGTGTCGTGTCGTGTCGTGATGTGCATGCGTTAGTCTGCCTTGTTTTTGAACTTCCTTCTAGTGCTGTGTTCAATAGAACATTGCCGACTCTTGTGTTTCTCTATTTGAGGCCGTGGTAAGCCCTGGGCCATAATATGTACTACATGCTGGTCATTGATATTGAACGCTGCAAAGTTATTTCCCAATTGAGGCAGGAAAAGAACGCGATCTGTGAGGGGAATAATCACCTCCATCACACTGATGTACTGTACCTGCCACAGGTTTTCATGTCCATGTTTGTTGTGTTAGAGTAAAGTTGGCATTGATTTAAAATGTGTTGCTTGTGTGTGTGTGTGCGTGTGTGCGATTAACTGTGAGCCAGAGCAATTTAAGGCCCGACTGTATGCCTCGACGGGTTTATCAAAATCTCCTTCTCTTCCTCCCTCCCTCGTGTGTCTGTCTCCTTGAGTGACAGCCATGTTACAGCCGCTCCGCCTGTACGTTGTGTTCCCTTCCTCCACAATTCAATGTAGTCTTTCTGCACCTAAACTGTGCGGCGCCCTGTCCCTGAATCACTGCCTCCCTCGCCTTATGCATTCTCCACGGAACGTTGCCATCAATCATGCGAGGCAGCATTGGCCTAGGGACTAGCTGTCAATCTGCACGCGTGTGTGTCAGTGTTTGTCTACTTATGTGTGTGTGTGTGTGTGTGAACGTATGTGCTCATATGCACTCAAATGAGAAGCTCCATTAGTGGCTGTGCCACAACAAAATAAGAGTGATGACGTGTGCATGCACATGAGTCTGAGGTGGATGTCAGCTGTCTTGATTGGAGTTGAGGGCAGAACACACCACGGCTGGAGGTGAGGGGCCACAAACGCCTGTGACATCACAGCCACAGGGCCACAGCTCTTCTCTACCCATGGTGCTGTTCTTCTCCCCTTCGTCTCTCTTCATCTTCTGGGTGAACTCTCTCATTCGCACTGTATTTTTGTTGTGTTCAGATCGTAATGTCTTTGTGGTGTTATTTTAGCTAGAGCTGTTGCAAAATTTAAATATAAATGATCTTAAAATATGAATATGTTGTAGAAGACACTGTTGAGAAAAACAAATAAAACATTCATATAGAATCAGGCTGCAGATTGTACTCATTGGAACCTGTTTGCAAACGTGGACCGACTTGACCTGAGCCAATAAAAAACTATTATAACCCTCGTGTGATGGGGTTTTTGCAAAAAGGAAACTTTGTTTTTAGAATTCTCTATTTATGACGTCATGACATGTCTCGGTGTCTCCTTGATGGTTTCTGGGTCCCTAACATAATTATAATAACATTGTTACTTTTTTTTGACTCATGGATATACATATATATATATACAGTACGTTTCAAAATAACACATGCTCCTTTATTTTAGCAAATATTTGGTTTGACTTTTCCATTGAAAATGATGGAGTTAAAGCCACACCTGAGTATAATTCTCATTCAGGTATTTTCTAAGACTGTTTTTTTTTAAGTTAGAATATCAGCCAAGTTCTTATAGAAAAACATTTTGGAACTCATTCAACACTGGTTAATGTTATGTAATTAGAAATTAGAAAAAAAAAACCTTAAATCCATTAACTTCCTGTTCAACATGTGGCAAATGACTGAAACAGATTTTACTTTTACATTCATTTATACTTTATGTCACAGTTTCATTACTTGCTGTTCAGTGACATTCAGTTCCCTGTTTGCTTTTCTTTAGCTCTGCTCTCTTTTACTGTTTCCTGGCATCTTGTGAGTCTAATGGAGGTGAAACAATGGCAGGGTGGCAGTAAACTTTTTTTTTTGGAGTTTCTTCTTTGTCACTACATCGCTGTTTCTATATGTGTGTGTGCAAAGTTTCCTGCGTGTGGGGAACAACATCTGTCCCTGAGTCTGCTCTGTTACCTTCTTGCTGACTGCTCATAAGGTAAAAAACATAAAATCAATCGTAAATCCACCGCACAACAGGTAGTCAGGAAGGCGAGAAATGAGGCAAAACAAACTTCTCTTCTCCTCGCTTTCTTTCCCACATTGAGGAAAAAACACCAGAGTCGAAGACAGGAAGTGTGAAACTAAGAGAAAAGTCGAAACAGGAAGTGTCTGTAGTCATCCTTCCATATTCAAGCGGGCATTCAGGATGTTTTTTTCCAAACTTTATTTGACAGTCAAGAGTGAAGAAGCTGACAGGAAAACCCTGAGCTGGGTTATAACCTACACAGGACAGAAAGGTCCATTTGCTGCAGCCTTATGCTGAAATCACTCAGCCAACAGATGACTGCTGCGTTGTTGTTCATTTAAAAGTTACATCCTCCTTGTGCCTCCTTGACTCTTCACACAAACACAAACACAAACACACTGTCGTATACACACATCACTGCCAACAGTACAAAGAGACCGATCCGGAGGGGGTGAGAGCAAAAAATATAATCCAACTGGAGGACACAGAGCTTTCTAGGCTAGATTGAAGCGCAGGCACGGACTGAGGCTGCACACTGCGATAACACAACATCCTGGAGATGCACACGGACCGACACACTCTCACTTTCAAATCCCTACTTTACACTTTGTTGTGTGCCGAGCAACACACCCATGCAGACCGTGCACGGTGCACAGCAAAGAGGCAGCCACGCGGGTGTGCACGCTACTGATATTCGTACTTTTTATTCTCTCGCACGCAGCCGTATACACACTGCGCTCGTGGCTCATGGCGCAAGTCTTGTGATAAAGGAGAATGCAGCACTTCAAAGCAGCGATACTTTAGAGATAGAAAACATCCTTCAAAATGGCTGCCAGGCATCACCACGTTCCGCAGCTTATGTTTCACAGACACCACTCAACACTCTGGCTCTATCAGTTGTAAGTGAGTAGTGTTGAGTGGTGTTATATCCTCTGGGTGTTGAGACGTATGCAGCAAGTTTTCCAAATGAATGCTTTACCGCTAATCAAGAGAATCTGCAGTGTTCAAGGCATAAACTGATGCCAGGACAAACACAAATTTATATTCATGAAATAATTGTAATGAAATTGTAAAAAATCTCAAATCTCATTATTCTTTCAGGTACAGATTAGGATGTCAAATAATTAAAAAAAATTAATCTGATTAATTGCAGGGTAGCTGGGAATTAATCATAATTAACTAA